ATTTCAATACTGCCTAATGAATCATCATTTATTTGAAAGACTAATAATTTATTAAGCAGTATTTTGAAAGAAATATTCATGAAATTAATAATTTTTTTTTTCAGGACATTAATACAATTTATTGTACACCTTTATATTATATATTTACAGCTCCGGCGCGTTCTCCTTCATCAAGGTGCTCCGAGTACTTCGTGTCCTGAGGCCGTGCGTGCCATCAATCGAGCGAAGGGATTAAAGGTATCTCTTTCATTTGTCTCACCTATCCGCAAGTCCGCTAAAACCGGCCCGATTCACAAAGCATATACGCGTCCTTACAGTAGATACGTAACGCCAGAGGCATAATATACCGTAATGTCCACAGCTAGCTAAATTAAAGAGTACGCTCCCGTTAGCCCGACGTTGATTGCCATGCCAAGTCGCGATTATTCAAATGTACACAAATGGTGGAAGAGCGCCGAGTTAATTTGGAAGAGAAAAATCGCGCGAACGAGTTATTTCCCGCGCAAAACGATTTATTTATTTTTTTCTACACAAAAAGATAAAAGAAATATTATTCGTCGATTTTCCTTTCTAGCCGATTAACAAAAAATCTCCGTAGCAATTTCGAAAAGACCTTCATCTCTCATTCAAAAGAACCTATTCTAATTCTTTCGTTATAGAAATGTAATCTCGAAAAGTCCTATTTAATGAAACTTGAAAAGATCTCGAGAGATCCGGATTTTCCAGAGAGCTACTCGAACTCGTCGCAATAAACAATATATACATCATACATATAATATATAAATACGCTAAGCGATAATTTCCATCTCTCCATCTCACCCGAAGGGCGAATATATATATTATGAATTAATGTTGTGAACCCAGCACGTAGTACAGTGCGTCATCGTAGCGGTAAAGACTATCGGAAACATAGTCCTCGTCACCAGCCTCCTGCAGTTCGTGTTCGCCGTCATTGGCGTACAGCTCTTCAAGGTAGGATTATCGGGCCCCGATAGACCGAGATGGCCCCGAAACAAAAGCTCTCCTCCGAATCTCTTGTAGTATATTATACACTAGAGTGGCATAATGTTTTATCAATTGGTACTCTCCTTCTCCTTCTTCCCTATTTAGCCCTATTTTCTAAACCAAAATTTAGCCTTCGAAAATTCCTACCCTTTCTGTCTCTCTTTCTCTCTCTTTCTATCAAGATTAGATTTCGACATTTATTCATCCGTTTGTCCACACATTTTTAATGCAATCTCAGCCAGAAAAAATATAATATTCACCATTATTACCATATTATTCCATTACTATACTTCTATTACGATTACTTGCTACTTAAGTACGCCTTTGCTCGATATCTCGGCAGCTTCTTCGACGATTATTTCCGCTCTGTTGCGAAACGAGCAGTCAGCTTCGTAATCGATTAACGATCGTTTTCGCGAGCACATAATTGTCCATCTAAGTGATCTTAAACGGAAGAACACGATTGTCTTTCGAGAGGGAGAACATATGCGTTTGAAAGGAGCTTCTCGCTTTACAATTCAATCAAATATTATGTGCACACTGGAATTTTTATCACGTGACTTTGACTGATTTTTTTTTTTTTTTTTTTTTTGCGCACCTCTCTGTACACGTTTCTGTATGATCATATTGTATACGTAACTCGGGTTTACCTAAGTTTCATCAATAATCGTCGCAGAAAGCTCTCGTGTAGATAATCCCAGCTCGCGATACAATATCGATGTCGGATCGATGATTATTCCGCGCCAAGTTACGGAATTAACGAACCCAATTAAAGAGCACGTCTCGATATTCGACGTATATCGATCGACAGCGACACGTGGGAAAATAATCGTCGGAGTGGCGCGAGCACGAGGCGAATGTTGTTTTCTCTGACAGATGCACCTCTGGGTACCCTCCCCCCTTTGCCCCCCCCTGTAAAACAAGCTGTTTTTTTGGCGTGTAAAACTTACTCATAATTGAGTTTCTTGTCTCGACACTCTCCCCGAAACCTCTCACTGGAGCACGGTTGCGTTTCTTTATTTTTTTTTTGTTGTGTTTTTTGTTGTTCTTATTTTTTTTTGTTGTGTAAACTTTTTTTTTTTTTATTTGAAATTGCGTATTAGAAAATTTATCACGTAACGAGAAGAGAGAGAGAAAAAAAAATAGGTTTTTATCAATTGAAAAGATTCATTGATGGAATATAGAGAGATAATCCTTCATAGATTATATGGTTTATATATTTATCGCTTTTTCTTTTGCTACTTCAAAGCCGCGCCAAGTACTTGAAAACTTTTAGAAAAGCGCGCAAGAGCGAGCTTTTATTTGAAATTGATCTGAAAGGCTCTCTCGATTCAACCAAACACTGTCTACACGTTACGTATAAAGCCATTTATGTTTCAATATACTAGACGGTGTATAGTACATCTTCGATTTATGAAAGAAGTTCCTTAGTGACAGTTCCCGATGATTTAATTATGAGAAATGTGATGTTTCTCTAGATGTATAGCATGACTCCTATTATATAATCTGAATCGTGAGAGCGTTACATCAACAGATATATTATATAATATTATATATATGCATGTCATTTTTGAATATTGAATAAAGTTCCTAGGAAACGCAAAAATCACATCATCGGTATCATTTGTCGATAGCGTCAGAACAAGGAGAACGCTGTTGTTATTTCGCATTTGTGAAAAGTTGACAAAAAAAATACTGTTATCGTTAGACTATTGACCATAAAAACAAAAACAATTCGAGAAATATTATACCGATTTTTTTTTTAATTTTTACGTACGTATATTCGTACGATTTTATTCAGAATTATTACAAAGAGACAAAACAATTTTGTAACATATACACACACACACACACACACATACATATAGACGTACGTTGATGCGTGATACGATTTTCCGCCGCGAAAGTTTCTTTCATGCGATTCTCTGTCGCTTCATATATATCGACATGTTGATTCGATATATCCTTTTTCTTTCAGAATCGAATTGAGTCGTGATCTATATATCTCGTTTAATTTAATTTTTTATCGGAAATTGTTTGCCAGAAATCATATTTTCAAAAATCATGGAAATAATTAAAACAATACAATAATACACACATGCTCCTATAATTATGAAAAGAAAACATCTATAAGAAGATTAAGTAGAGAGTAAATTAAAATCTGAATAACTTGTTTAAGAATGACCAAAAAAAATGTTTAGTGGCCATCATTTTTTAATATTTTTCGAATTGCAAAATCCGACCCCTCGAATAACTACACTGAGAAAAAATTTATTGAATTCGAATAAATATTTATTTCAATACTGCTTAATAAATCATTTATTTCAAACTAATAATATTGATTTGATACGAAAAATATTTGATATAAAAAATCCTTTTCGAGATAAATCTTTATTTGTTTCAAATAAATGCTCGATTGGGCAGTATTGAAATAAATATTTATAATTTAACAATTTTTTTTCAGTATACTCCACTAGATTTTGACAGTTTTGTAATAATTAATTATCCCTACGTGAAAAAAATCACACAGCATTATCCTACTTATGGTCTCGGTTACTCCGTTTGATCTCATCGTAGTAGATCCGTGCCACGTCAATATGTAATATAGTATTATATGAACATACATATATATACATAGTGGATGAGCGACCGGGGGGAGATGAGACGATAGCTCAAAAACAGATCGGGTATAGTTGGAGTGTATACAAAAAAAAAGCGGCTTTACGCAAGGCCTAACATGCCTTTGCTCTTTCGGCTTTCGTTTTTTGCTCCTATCAGCTGGACACACGATACATTGTATATCCCTTTTATATTATATCTATATTCTTCCTTTTGCCATCAAGAGACTTTTTGCTGCTCGAGACTTGATTATATATCGCTATGCAACGAAAACAATCACGCACAAATCTACATACACTTACGTATATATATTTAAAGTGCATAAAAAATGTTGAAGCTTCAGTCTTTTCGTCTGGATTGTCGTTTAAGACATTCATCGTTCTGGTTTCTCAATCTCAGTCATGTCTCGTCAATCGGTCTTTTGATAATTTTCTTCAATTCAAAAAAAAAAAGAGAGAAAAATTGTGCATGAGCTATCATGGTTACGTTTCGTGCGATTTTTCTCAAAGTTGAAGAAAGCCTTCAAAGGATCTGACGACGTGGATGGAGATTCAAAACGACGAATGTCTTATAAAACGGCATAAAAGAAAAACTTCCAGGAATACTGTTTAAGAAATGAGAACGCGACGTTGAAAAAGATATATATTGAAGTTCAAAGAGAGACAGACTCTCTAGCTTGAAAGAGATACTCATAAATAAGATTTCAGATTAGCCAATTATCTCTTACAACGTCATTTCGGGAACTCTTTGATCGTAATATGTACTTTAAGAAATTACTGATGTCTTAAAAATAAACTCTATATAAAAGAAATAAATGGTAAATTCAATTACTTGATTGTGTATATATTATTAGACGCACAATATTCTTTATGCACTATAAAGAAAATCGGAGCAGATCGATACGAGCCGATCGAATTGTCAAATTAACAAATAATTAAAAATTGATATATATTATATAATATAATTTTAATTCGAAATTCTTCACTTTGCCTTTAAACTACATATTTATTTAAAACTATACGTAACATGATTCTAATAATATTACTCTCTATATAATTCTTCGATTTTTTTGTTTTTGAGGAAACGAAGGTATTCTCTTTCAGTTATAAAAATATGTACAGTTGCTTTCACGATTATTTAAAAATATTCGATATGGCTCGAGTGGTCGGTCTCCCCCAACAAATATACTGACATTTATACTTCGAGCACACAAACACATGAGGCATTTATATCTTTCAAGCGGAGCCAAGGGTGTACTTTAATTCTTCCAATTTTTATCTTTTTACATGCACACACTTCTGCCCACCCAGCAAAAAAAAAAAAAAATAAAAAAAATGAGACTCACGCAGCCTTCGTGATTTTAAGATTGATTAGTAGAGGATGTTTGAGAATTGCATGCTTGTGCCGGCTGAGCGTTGCTGAGTGGTGTGCCGCTATATTAACATGAGAGAGAAAGGTGAAGGAGATGAAGAAAAGGGCACTATATTTTTTTGTTTTCTTTCTCGTAAGCCTCCACTCGTCGCCGGGACTCTGCTGGATAATCGAAAAGGGGAAATATCACGAAAAAAAGCGGTCCCTCTATACATATACGCGCGCACAGACCCATAATTGCTGCAAAAGGAAGCACCACGGCAATTTCCTTTTCTACTTTCAGCTTAGAAATCGCCGATTTTGCTTCGTGACAGCTCAGCTTAAATACTGCGAAAAATCGGCATCAAATTATTGCATTGAAGATTGAGATCGAAAATTGAAGATTCGAAATTGATTAATCATCGTAGTAGGAGATGGGAAGATCTCTTTTTGATTGATCAAATCCGAATCTTGATCCAACTTAAGATATTTCGCCTACTGAAAGATTACACATCTAGGTGAGATTCACATAATCTTTAGTTATTATTCTTTCGAGTTCTACAGATATAGAGACGAACTAGTTAAAACTGAATAAATTTTCTGGAAACGCTTAATGGAACTTTCGATTCTTGTGATTCAGGAGCAATCGAGATGGATGGAAGCATAGAATATTCGTGTAAGGTCTCATGAATTTATTAGACGAGTTCGATGGAAGCTGGCTAGGTGAATCAATGTCGATCAAGTTAAATTATGGCATTTCAAATTTATATATCGCGAAATGACGATCACGTTAATCCTTTATCGAACCTGTCATCGAGCCTTCTTTTTGCGAAGTCTCGCAAGTATCATTAATTTTCCAATCGGAGTCTACATAGAAGTTTCTTAAACACTCGCGGAGAGAAGATCAAGCGCTTCGTAAGAGATATTAAAGTTTTTTCCGCTCGATAAAGGATATAACGAGATATTTCGCCAGCAGAGCACAAAGACGCAGAAAGATG